TGAGAAGTGGCGACCGGTGGCCTTTCTCTCGAAGGCCCTATCCACTACCGAGCGCAATTATGAAATTTATGACAAGGAACTACTGGCCATCATGATCGCGTTGGAAGAGTGGTGCCAATATCTCATGGGAGCCCGAGAAGATTTTGAAATCTGGACTGACCACTCCAACCTGCAGTACTTCCGCAAGCCCCAGAAACTGAACCGTAGGCAGGCACGTTGGGTAACGGAGTTGGCCGAATACCAATTCACCCTTCATCACAAGCCGGGAGCCCAAAATCGCAAGGCCGACCTATTGTCTAGGCGGGCGGACCATGACCAAGGCAGGGAGGACAATAAAGATGTAATCGTCCTCAAGACTGAACATTTTCGGGCCTTGATTATGCTGACGCAGGAAGAGTTGCACGAGAAAATCAAACTGGCCACCCACGATCCCCGGAAGTGGGACCGAGGTATCTCGGACTCCCTCAATCATGAAAAGGGGGTCTCTAAAAACCAAGACCTGCTTTGGTATGATGGATGCATCTACGTTCCCATCGATTGACAACTACAAGGAGAGATCATAGCCCTCCGACATGATCACATAACGGCGGGACATCCGGGGGTAGAAAAGACCAAGGAATTAATCCTACGAGACTATTGGTGGCCCCGCATGCGGCGGAAGGTGGAAGCCTATGTAAAAGGGTGCGAGACCTGCCAACGAACTAAGGCAGATTGTCACCTGAAGAAGGTGCCCCTTCATCCGAATGAGGTCCCAACAAGACCATGGACTCACATTTCTGTCAACATGATCACCAAGCTTTCTAATTCAAAAGGATATGATTCTATCTTGGTGATTGTCGACAGATTCTCCAAAACAATAATTCCGGTCGCCTGTACTGAAGAACTCACTTCTCTCGGATTTGCCAAAATCCTGCGAGACCACGTTTATGTACCATACGGGATAATGCCGCAAAAAGTAATTTCGGACAGGGGAGCAATCTTTGTCTCCAAATTTATGAAGGAATTCTATGCCCTTCTCCAAGTTGCAGGAAATCCTTCCACTGCGTACCACCCACAAACGGATGGCCAGACTGAACGAGTCAATCAAGAGATCGAAAAGTACCTCAAAATGTTTGTAAACTATCGACAAGATGACTGGAGCGAGTGGCTACCACTAGCTGCCTTCACTCACAACAATCGAACGCATTCGGCCACAGGGTTTTCTCCCTACAAAGCGGTCTTCGGAAGGGACGGACAGGTCAACAAGACCACCCAACGACCAGACGTCGTCCCGGCAGCGTCCAAGTTGGTTCAGGGAATTCAGGAGATACAACAACAGGCGAAGGAATTGCTGGAGAGAGCAGCAGAAGCTATGAAGAAAACCTATGACAAGAATAAGGGGGAGGCGATTGAATACCGAGTAGGCGACAAGGTATGGTTGGACTCAACCCACCTAAACCTCCCTCGTCCCACCAAGAAACTCGGAGACCGTCACGTAGGACCCTTCACCATTCTAGCCAAAAAGGAGGCCTCCGCTTATGAATTAAAACTCCCGGTGGGCTGGAAAATTCACAATCGATTCAACGAATCTCTTTTAACGCCATACTACCCTCCCGAATTTCCCAATCAACCACACCTGGAGAGACCACCTCCCGAATTGATTGACGATGAAGAAGAATACGAGATCGAAGAGATCGTGGAACAGAGAGACAAGGTTATCGGTCGGGGACGTACTCGACGCACCATTACCGAGTACCTCGTGAAATGGAAGGGATACCCAGTCAAAGAAAACTCCTGGGTAAAATGCTCAAATATGGCCAACGCAGAAGAGTTGGTTAAGGAGTACGAAGCCCGTATTCAACGGATTCAATGGGAAATCGATAAACAAGGAAGGACGGTGGGGATTGATCATAAAATACCCTGAAATGACATCGCTGTGTACCATGAACCAGACACTCCCTGTGTCACCGATGTTGAAACTGTGTACTCATCCCAGTGCTCAAATCTGAGACATTCAGACACCCAACAAGACTCTTATCCCTCTTCAGAACGATCAGCATCAATGCATTCCGAAGAAATTGCGGCTGTTGACATCCCTGAAGAATCACACGAGGAGCACAAACTTGAAGAATGGCTTGACACCCTAGCCAAGGCGAAAGGCGGAGACTCACGATTACGACCGGCACATTCTCAACAAGAGAATGACATCAGTAAACTCCACTTCCAACCACTCGAACCCAACCCAAATGATTCGGAGGAGGAAGTGAATCTTCAAAACCTCGAGCGTATCCACGAGAACTGGAACACAGAAGGGGAAGACAACGAAGACGATGATGACGACGATGACATACCATCTTTCTATTCTGACTCCAGACATTCTTCATCAAACGACGACGAGTGAGAGTCTGAGGACTCATTTGGGACGAACGAGTCTTAGAGAGGGGGTAATGTTACGATTTATACGATTTATTCATTTTTCTTTGTTTTACTCAGCAGGATTACTCATATGCGATTCCTACGGATCATTTCTCACAGTACTATTATTAGCGTACCAACATGTATTTAAGTAGAGCCTCAGCTGGCTTAAACCCCAGCTTCGGCTAAGGTTTAATCTACCCAACTCGAACTCCGTTCTTCACGTCTATTTGCCCTCCATCGACTTTGACGTCGCCTTTGACTTGCTAGAGTATCATCCACCAAAGTGCGAGTGGTGATCCTAGTTTGATCTAAGTCGATTATTAGTTGGTTGATAACAACCTGTTCATAGATGTATCTCGGTCAATGTTGCCATCTGACATGTGTCAAGAGCACGCTGCGCAAACTGCAATGCCGATAAATCGCTGGTGAAGACTAGTTTCGATAAGCTACTGAGCCCTTGAAGATCAAGCTCTGGTGAGACTCTCTTTCTCAGCTTGTACGAGGATACTGTCAGGATCAATGTCAGAAAAACAGGTAGACTAATAAGATGCAGGCTCACGGCAAAATCAGAGGTCGAGTATTAAGAGACTGACGGTTGAGTGCAATATCCTATTGACACTTTGCAGATCATTGGGTCACGAAACTGATATCCGCAATTCAGTAAGTGCCTGAAATTTTGCAGACTGTAGCCACAGATAAGGTGACATGGTCTCATTTTGATGAGAGCTGGGCATCACAAAGTGCAGAAACACAGGAAAATGTGTCACTGTATTCTGCTTCTTCTTCTTCTCTGCCTATAGCACTCGCTCGTAGCTCGAGACGGTGAAAGGAAAGACCTGAAAAGACACTCGTTTCAACAATGATGATGGTCGGCAAAAATAAACTAAATGAACCTGTACAGAAAACCTTCAAAATTTCTTCCGGAATTGAACACAGTTTAAAATGCAGACCTTCGACTGATGCAAGGAAAGGGAGCAAGCGCTCTACAGAAGGTTTTGAAATATTCTCTAAAACTAGACCTTTAAACGCTACATCTCTGACCCTAGGAAGACAGGTTAAAAGATGGATAAGACGAGATGTATCATCATTTCCTAGAGCTCTGCTATGGAAAACAACAGTTTGAATATGATGCTGGACTGTTGGAAATAGTAGAAGCCTTCCAAGTATTTCCTCCACGGGTCGATATCGTGTGTTTTCTAAAGTGGAAGAAGAACTGGAGATATTCAAGTTGCAAAATAGCAACTCATGTGCTGGCCAAAGGAAAGACTGATTTACAAGAGAGCAGCTTGCTGCATCTCTTGCATTGTCACAGGTATAATTCAGAATCTTGTCTTTGATTTCCTGAGGAAGCTTTTCCATGAGAAGAGAAGAGCGGAAGAGCGCCTCTTTGTTTGAAATGAAGTATTAAATTATAATACTTAGGTAACTAAAAATAGATGGAGATCGATCTCAGATGTCTTCTCATTTAAGACATTAAATCATTATTTATTTACATTTCACTTAATTGAATTAATGCCATTGCCAGCGAAACTGTCCCATCTCTGTCTTTCTCCTTCCTCCTTCTCCTTCTCTTTTCATCTCAGTCTTTTCACTTCACCTGTACTATACCATATCATGAGCAGCTGCTGCTTGCTGGAAGCTCTATTTGCATACGCTTGATTCACATGAGCAGCTAATCCCATCTCAGCATGTATAATGTCAGCTCTCTCCTAGGCGATTAGGCTGGAGCATCACGACATGATTACATAGCATAGCAATAGTCATATAGTATTCTCCAGTGACATGTTATGTTATTTCGCATACACATATGCATACTGCCACCACCATACTCAGTACACATACAACAAACCATCCAATGAGCCAATATTTTTTTTCCTGATCGATACATTGCCAAAGACTGCCTTAGCTACCACCACTGACTGCCATGCGTCAACAGCTAATGGGCTGATACGAGGAACTGCCTGCCTGCTATGGTCACCACCAGCATCTGCCACGCCACTACCCATGTCAAACCCGATTGGGGGGAGAGAGGTCAGGTCCCCGCTCCTCTCTATTTCTCTGTTTCTCGATGGCTGGTTCCTTTGCAGCTGTCGTGGTAGGTTAGGCAGGCAGGCCATCATTGTCAAACCCAATTGAGGGAGAGGTCAGGTCCCCACTCTTCTATTTCTCAATGGCTGGTTCCTTTGCAACTGTCATGGTAGGTTAGTCAGGCAGGCCACCATTATTCTTCTTCTTTGGTACACTGTTCAGTCTATCCTGGTCTATCCTGAATGAGTGGTATCCCAATTCTCAAACGCTATCGGCGATCCGCATGTGGACAAGGTGGACCAGGGGAGAAACATAGCTAAGCCACAAAAGAGGGTTCACAATGATCAAAGAATGGAGATATTTTGATGCGACGATGGAGGGTGCAGAACTGGCCTTCCTTTCTCCCAAGGATCATCGGTAGATAGTCTGTAGTGGGTGCTTCATTGCCTGTTTGCTGCTAGAGATACACTGAAACTGATACAGCCATAGAATTATAGATTTACAAAACTTGAACTCTTAAAAAGGCCCACAGGCTGCTGCATCATTAACATCTGCCCGCTCTCTTTTCATACAACATGGAATACAACGGCCACATCTGCAAACTGACTGTGTACTCCGAAAATCTCCCCACAGCCATCATCCTTCGCGACCTTCGTCCACCACTGTGGAGTTTACAATGGGTTCGGTCCGACATGACTGATGACAGCCTGAACACGGTTGTCCGACCATTGACTGGTATCAAGACAATCATCCTTCAGGGTACCAGTATCTCAGAACAGGTTTCCCTTCCTTCGTCGGCTTCAGATGTTGCGTTGATAAATGCTTCTTTCACAGAGGAAGCTCTGATGAGTGTCTTACCCACAAATGGATCGTTGGAGATAGGAGGAAGTCAAACTGAATTCTGAAGGTGCTCGCCAAGAGCACCCTATATTCCCATCTCCATATGACTCTCTGTCCTGTCCTTAGATTTGGCCTCGATCAATGCCATTCATGGATGCGAAATATCTGAGTGTCTCCAACCAGTGGTGGTCGGAGTCAATTGTCTCAAATTTAAAGCACATTTGGATCGGGACGTAGTGCTACTACAATGCTTCATTGAAAAGAATTATCTGACATTGACAGAAACAATCATAGAACAAAAAGGCACGTTTTTCTTAACATTAATATTTCTTATTACATGCCTGTTTCCGTGTTCTTACCTGGTCTGGATAGCTGCCGAACATGCTCTTTGGGTGTCGAGTGTCATATATTTTGATGCTTGCCAGTCATTGACGTCCATGTCCTTGACATGCTTGGATGGGGAGTTAAAGGCTTTGACGGCTTCCATATTGACAGTCCCACCCTACCAACTTCAGATGCTGACACTTCGCATCAGAATCAGGGTCTTGGCCGAGGAAGACCACAGAAGGCATGGAAATACTCTTCAAAGGTTAGCACAGGTCGTCCGTGGATGTGTCAATCATGAAGAGTTCTGCTGGCTAGACATACAGCTTGGCCAAAGTGTGATGCCTGCCTACAGTGATCATCACACAATCAAGACGTTTGTGTTTTCGTGTTTTAGGAGCCTGAATAGTCTGGAGAATGCCAAATATTCTGGGATTAATTGGAGGCTGTTTTAGCTTGAAACGGTGCCACCGCATCTCTCACCTATGCTATTCTTTTACAGTTCTTTTACAATGATCATGGTAATTAATGATCAATAGTTATCATGTACATTCCAAATTGGATAGATTTTATGTCATTTTTCAGAGAGACGCACCTGTCAAGAAGTCCCTAAACACAATCCATAAACAGCGTGGTACCATGTGCTGTAAAAAGACAACTGGTGCTTCAGAAATGATGCATGCTCGGTTCGGAAGTTGAGAGAATCATGTCAGAGAGATGAAATGACCCTGGATGATACCCTTCCGACATACAATAAACATCTTGCTAGCTCTAGCTATACCTGCTGTACTATGCAGACTGTTCACCTGGTATACGATATGAACTATGTAAACGACAACTTCACGATCTCTTCAAACACCACGAATCCTATTCCTCAACTCGCATTTCCCCCCCCTCCACCCATTCTTTCTTACTCTGTACCATTTTCCGCAATGGACCCTGCTACATTCGAAGCAGCATCTGCGCATTCTGCGCACCTATTCACTGGTATACAACCTCTGCCTGATCGATTACCATTACCAGGAGACCATTATACCGAGCAACCTGACCAAGGTCATGAAGGAGGAAAAGCGTCGCAAATGGCAGTGCATGCAGGGGACCTAACGGTGGAAGAGGTTTATTTAAATCCCCATCGGCTTGTATGTGAGTCATGTCTACCACATTCTCTGTCCATCTTCCTTGCTGATATTACCGGTGGGTTGAACAGCCCCAAACACACCCATTTCCAACATGGTTGAGCCCTGGATCAGGAGATACAATACGAGGAGCATCCCAAGTAGGGCTGAGGGAAAAAGGGTAGGTTATTTACCAAAATGGTTTTTTACAGTAAATTACATTGTATTTTACCATGTATTTTACCGGGGGGTCCTGAGGGGGGTTTCAGCTAGGTAAAATACAGAGATCACATGCAAGTATTTTCACCCACAAAGCAGCTGCAGTAGGCTGTAGGTCTATGTAGACTCAAGGATAATTATTCAAAGACTTTTCATAGGTCACTGAAGCACCAAGGGAGACGATGACATGGCGTCTTGAATTCTTAGGAGACTCCGACCGCATTTGGAAAAACGAAGAAATCGTAGGAAAACTGGAATATATTATATATTATATAATCACGTGACAAGGTATTTTACATAGTAAAATACCACGTAAAAAACCCCCTCCAAGGCTCACATAGGTAAAATACCGACCGCCAACCCCCTGGAGGTTTTTCCCTCAACCCTAATCCCAAGCATCATCGCTAGCAGCATGAGCATCACTGGCTCTATCAGCGCTATGATAGCAGAACTTTCACCTCGTCTTCGACGACGTCACTGGCCAGCAACTGTCCATTGCTCTTGACGAAAATACAACTATGTATGGCTTTATCGGTAAGTGTGCTGTTCACCATAAAGATCAGAGTCTGATGAAACGATATCTATCTAAGGATAATCTCTGCAACTGGCCCAGTGCAAACATCCATGAAGCTCTAAATGCCATTTTGGCCATGCCCTGGTTCGCTATCTGGTACACTGTTAATGACCTCGGAATCCATTGTGGCATACACTCCCTAGCCAATGCCATGTCACAACCTACACTGGTTCTAAAAGGCTTAGCAGACACTACACATGTCGCCGTCATCAGTACCATGCCAATACGTGGCACTTACCTGCCTCCTGCCATTGTCCTTGCCCATTGTCTGGGCGAGTTCACGACCCTTCATGGTGTAGGTGTGCGCACTGTCATCCAGAATCTTTCCTATCAGACCGTCTCCAGGTCCTCACAGTCATCTAACTTTGTTGCAGTTGTCCTGCTTTCTGTGATTTCAGAGGAGTTCGATGATTTAAATTCGTGTTAGCCACCAACTCTCAAACTTGGATCAACTAAGGATCGCCACTCGCACTTCGGTGGATCAATACACTTAGAGGTCGAAGTCTGATAAAACAAGCGAAGGTGAACTTAGATAGACGCAAAACAAGGAGCTAGAGTTGGGTAGAATTAACCTTAGCCGAAGCTGGGGTTTAGTCCAGCAAAGGCTGTACTTAAATACACTATGGCTATGATATAAATAATACTGTGGGAACCATCCATGAATGATCACATATTAGAGTAAGTGAAAATGTGTAATCAAAAGAAAAGAAATGAATAAACCATAACATTACCCCCTCTTTAAGACTCATTTGTCCCGAATGATTCATCAGACTCTTCTCCAGAAGACGTGAATAAGTCGGATAATTGGTTATCATTGCCCTCCTCCTCTTCATCATCCCAATTTTCTGTGACCCTCTGTAGTAGATTGACATCGACTTTGTCATTAGTGGCGGTCGTACGAATATGGCGATCTTTGTAATTTCTGGCCTCCAACATCTCCTCTTCCTCAGAAAATGGTAATGTAGTGAATTTTCCAGAGTTGTTGGACTCCAGGTCTCTGGAGTGTGGGGAGAATATATATGTCAAGCTTCTGGGTTTTGGTGGTAGGCTGACTAGCCATTTGTCCAATTGTTGTAGCTCCTTCTCGTTGAGTTGAAAGCTCGTGAATCCCTCAGGTACCCCATCTGAGGCCTTGGCATCCGCTATTATATTAACGTTTTCTGAGTGTCTGGATGCTGAGCAAAGGGATGAGGATACTGTAACAATGTCCGTTCTGCAAGGAGTGTTGGGTTCATGATATTGGTAGAGCTCATTGGTGGGTATTTTGTTGTCCCGACCTATGGTTCTTCCTTTGTTGTCGACCTTCCACACAATCTTTTGGACACAAGCTTCATACTCATTTACGAGTTGTTCTGTGTTCGCCATGTCTGACCTCTTGACCCAGGAGTTTTCTTCGGCAGGGTACCCTTTCCACTTGACAAGGTATTCAGTGATCGTCTTGCGATTCCGACCTCTGCCTGCCACTACATTACGTTCTTGTATAATCTCTTCGATTTCATATTCTTCTTCATCATCAATTAGTTCAGGAGGAGGTCTCTCTGGTTGTGGTTGATTAGGAAAGATGGGCGGTTGATATGGTGTTAACAGCGATTCGTTGAATTGGTTGTGGACCTTCCACTTTTCCGGAAGTTTCAACTCGTAGGATGATGCCCCTTTCTTTGCTATGATTTCGAAGGGTCCTACTCGCCGGTCTCTGAGCTTGCTCGTGGGTTGAGGAAGATGAAGGTGCATGGCATCGAGCCATACCTTATCTCCTGGTTGATATTTGGTCGCTGGAGCTTTTCCTTTGTCATATTGGTATTTCATTGCTTCGGCCGCCTTTTCCAGTGACTCCTTGGTTTTCCTCTGGACTTCTTGTATCCCTTCTACCAGTTTCTTGGCCACTGGTACTGTCCCCGACCCTTGAGCGGTCGTAATTACCTGTCCATCCCTCCCAAATACCACCTTGTATGGAGAGAAACCGGTGGCAGAATGTTTTCAGTTGTTATGGGTAAAGGCAGCCAGGGGTAGCCATTCGCTCCAGTCGTCTTGACGATAGTTTACAAACATTTTAAGGTATTTTTCTATCTCTTGATTTACCCGCTCTGTTTGTTCATCGGTTTGGGGGTGATAAGCTGTAGATGGATTACCAGTTACTTGTAGTAGGGTGTAGAATTCCTTCATAAACTTGGATACGAACATGGACCCCCGATCTGAGATGACCTTTTCAGGCATTACTCCATAGGGTATGTACACCTGATCCCTCAGAATCTTTGCGAAGCCTTGAGAGGTAAGCTCCTCGGTACAGGCGATGGGGATTATGGTTTTGGAGAATTGATCCACTATAACTAGGATAGAATCGTATCCTTTAGAGTTCAGGAGCTTGGTGATCATGTCAACGGAGATGTGGGTCTATGGTCGGACTGGGACTTTATTCAGATGGAGAGGGGCCCTTTTTGGACAGCGATCCGCTTTGGTTCGCTGGCAGACCTCGCATCCTTTGACATAAGCCTCCACGTCCCGATGCATTTGGGGCCACCAATAGTCTCGAAGGATGAGTTCTTTAGTCTTCTCAATTCCTGGGTGTCCAGCTGTTACGTGGTCGTGTCAGAGAGCTATGACCTCTCCTCGTAACCTTTTATCCATCAGCACGTAAATGCGTCCTTCATACCAGAGCATGTCTTGGTCTTTGGAAACCCCCTTCTTGTGATTGAGGGAATCTGCAATACCCCGATCCCATTTTTGAACATCGTGGGTGGCTAACTTGACCTTCTTGTGCAACTCTTCCAAAGTGGGCATCCTCAAGGCTTGGAAGTGCTCAGCTTTTAAGACGACTATATCTCGGTTGTCCTCCTTTCCTTGGTCATGGTCCACCCGCCTAGACAACAGGTTGGCCTTACGGTTTTGGGCCCCGGGGTTTGTGATGAAGCGTGAATTGGTATTCTGCTAACTCAGTTACCCATCGGGCCTGCCTGCGGTTTAACTTCTGTGGCTTTCGGAAGTATTGGAGATTTGAGTGATCTGTCCAAATCTCAAAGTCCTCACGTGCCCCCATCAGATATTGATGCCACTCATTGAGTGCAATCATGATGGCTAGGAGTTCTTTGTCATAGATCTCATAATTGCATTCGGTGGTGGATAAGGCCTTGGAAAGGAAAGCCACTGGTCTCCATTTCTTGTTTTGCCACTGGGATAGTACTGCCCCTACCGCCCCTTCACTTGAGTCGGCCTCCACCTTAAACTTCCCTTCGTCCAGTGGGATCACTAGCACCACATCCTCGCAGAAAAGGTCTTTGAGTTTCAGGAAGGCTTTCTGCTGAGCTTCCCCCCATTTCCACTCCGCCTTTCCTGTGAGCATGGTTAACGGTTTCACATGCTTGCTGTAATCACAAATGAAGTGTCGGTAGAAATTGCAGAACCCTAGGAAGGACTGCAATTCCTGTTTCCTTCGGGGTACTGGCCAGTCCAGGAGTCCTGCAATTTTCACCGGATCCATTCAGATTTTTCGTTCGCTGATGATCACCCCTAGATATTCGGTCTCCTCTACTTCAAATTCGCATTTCTCCGCTTTTAGGAAAAGCTTGTTTTCCCGAAGTCTCTCCAGCACCTTTCTCACTATGCGTTTGTGCTCCATTTTGGTCTTGGAGGCTATAAGTATATCGTCCAGGTACACCGACACCTCCCCTGCAGCTATGAGGTCTTTGAAAATATCATTCATCATCCACTGGAAGGTCACAGGTGAGTTGGTGAGTCCGAAAAACATAACCAAAGGCTCATAGAGTCCTCGGTTAGTTCAGAACGCTGCTTTCCACTCATCCCCTTGTTTAATCCTGACGTTGTTATAACCCCATCTGACATCCAACTTGGTGAAGTACTTAGCCTTCTTCAGCCGGTCCATCAATTCTCCTATCAGTGGCAAGGGATATCAAATTTTGATGGTCATTTCATTGAGTTTTCGATAATTCTGTACTGGGCATGACTTCCCATCTTTCTTTTTTACAAAGAAGAACGGGGATGCCATAGGTGATTTCGAGGCTTGGATTCGTCCAGTAGATAAGTTTTTGTCGAGAAACCTATCCAACTCCTCCTGTTCAGTCGGTGATGAGCCTCAAGGCTCTGTACGCTCAGAATTCGCAGATTTTAAGCATTATAATAAATGCCTTGTCCACTTAGCGGACTTTCACTAAGTCAACGATTGCAATCACGGCAATACCCACTTTTACCGCCAACTATCCTTCCCAGCTCATATTCCGCATCAATATGCGCCACTTCATTAATGCCGCCAGGCACCTGATTGTAGATCTCACGGAATTAGGACCATCATTGATCGCTCAGCACAGCCATCGCTGACATCAGCATCAAGTGTCACTTAATAGAATGCCGCAGCCAAACTACCGATTCCACGGCAAAAGACTTAATACCGTGACCTTTTCACCAGCTTTACTAAGGCTGTTACAATGCCAAGATAATGCCGCACGCATCTACTTCAGTGTACTACCTTCAGTGTACTTTGCCGCAGCAACACAGCAGCCCAAGAGTCCGTATGTCGGGGGAATTCTTTCTGATCACTAAGACTATACGCGGTAAAACCGTGTGGGTGCTGTTACTTTAGAACTCTGGGAGCACGCGTTTTGTATCATTTCTTACCAATCGATGTACTAAGGACTTACTAAGGACTCGTTTCAAGTATTCTAATTTTATTCCGGACTTGTAGTATAAAAGCTAGTGTAGTAGTAGTTGCTAGACAAGTTACTGGACACTAGCCATCATCCACGTTATTGACCACCGTTATCACTTGTACTCGCTAGGAGATAGACAATAACAACATAGTCACTCCAAGTTATACTCTCTGTCACGGCTTTTCTTCTAACGGTATTGGTGTACGCTCATATTGTGCCAATACACGGAATTTGGTGTCCACAACTCGCTTTTATCTTTTAATCCGCCAGCATCGTTTCACTTTCACCAGCCAGGATCGTTTTCATCAGTTTTCACCTTCTATGTCGCCATCGTTTTACCCAGTTCAGTTCAGGATCATTAAGTCCCCGTGTGGACTCAGATTAGGATCGTTATTGCCGCCAGCAGCATCTGTCACGGAATTTCGGTCAACAGCTTCAGTATAGGATCATCAGTCACGGTATTTGGTATCTTGCCATCAGTTTCAGTATAGGATAGTCTCCGTGTAGACTCAGGATTAGTATCAGTTTCGTTTTGCCGTCGTTAACCTCAGTATAGTTTCAGTTTCAGTCCAGCCCAGTCCCAGCCATCGTTTTGCCGTCGCTAGTTCCCCCTCATATCATCGCCAGTTCGTCTTATCTTCGTTTTACCGCCAGTTTCTCGTTTCTCGACTACAGTCTTCATCTCTTGCCGTCACGGTATTTGTT